CTCTATTTCGTGGGGGCTTTTATTTAAGCCCCATGGCTAGCTCAAGCTCACTCTCTTGACCATTTTCATTAACATAGCAACCTTGTGAGCTTAGCCAAAGCCCTCCCACTCATCTCCATCATTGATCCATCATCATTGTGAGATTGGGAGAGAATCCAAGTGCATTGCTTGAGTGATTGCATCTAGAGGCACTTGGCATTCGTGTTGCGCTGTGGATTTCGCTTGTTTCTCTTGGTGGTTGCCACTACCTAGACGGTTGGAGCAGCGGTGGAGGATTGGCACGAGTTGGTGATTGTTCGTGGCCATCTCCGGTGATTGTAAGGGGAGTTGTACCTTCCCCGGCGGAGTGCCGAAAGGTAACTCTAGTAAATTGCTCGTGTCATTGAGTTACCTCACTTGTGGGTCGGTTCTTGCGGTGTCCTATCATGTGGACGAGGTTTGTGAAACACCTCTTAGTTGTCGAACCACCAAGTGTTGGTCGACACAACAGGGACGTAGCGTGTTGGCAAGCACGTGAACCTTGGGAGAAAATCGATTGTCTCTTGTCTTTGGCATTCTCCCGGTGATTGGCTATATATTCATCTTGTGATTGGTTCATCCCCTACACGGCGATATAATCACCCTACTCACTTATTTACATTCTTGCAAACTAGTTGATACAAGCTCTTTAGTGTAATTAGAATTGAGAGCTTGCTTTATTATTTACATTCATCTAGTTGAGCTCTTTAGAGTAGCAAGATTGAGAGCTCTTAGTGAGTAGTTACATAGCAAGTTTGTGTGCCTAAGTAATCATTGTAACTAGAATTGTTGGATAGGTGGCTTGCAACCCTTGTAGAGCTAGAGCAAGTTTGCATTACGCTATTTGTCATACTAATCAAATTGCTCTAGTTGATTTGTAGATTTTTAAATAGGCTTTTCACCCCCCCCCCCCTCTAGCCATATTAGGACCTTTCAGCAGGCCGCCGCGATCCTAAACAACAACTGTGGTCTGCGTCTCGAACAAAGACGAGCAAGTTTATGGTGCTGAGCATGGCGAGCAGCCAGTACAGGTAGTCGAACGTGCCCATGTTGATGTTCTGTGCCAGCCACGACGAACAGACAAAGCAGCCGAGCCCGCCGGCCGACGGCGTACCCATGGCGGACCAAAGTTTTAGAATTTTGGGACCAAATTATAGGAAATTATTGAGATGACCTTATTTATTTTTCTCAATATTATTTTAGAAGTAAAAAAATCATGTTTTAGAAAAAATATATTGGATACTCTTGGAGATATGCCCTCTCCCTCCACACACCACCTCTCTTTTTTCTTTGGTTTTTTTTGGAGTGAGGCCATTACATTTCTCCAAATTTTGAGAAATACTATTACAATTCGCCTATTCGGAGATCTACCATTATAATTTTATGTCTCCTCCATTCATGCCATTTTCTACACCTTTTACGTATATGGATCCACTGGCAAACGCGTATGCGTACAGGAACATCTACTCACGTTAAGTCTCTACCTCCTCCGTTAGACTGAGGCCGCGCCGCCGTCGCTCTCTGTTTCTCCTGTCCCGATTCCCCTTCTTCCCTCTGCGACGATTGAAGCCAGCGACCGCCTCGGCCTTGGGCCGCATCTAGGACACCACTGGGCAAACACAAGACAGCGCGGCAAGCCACCTCCGGCAATGCGGTGAGCAGCATGGCCGGCGGCGCTCACGAGCTACGGCAATGGCGAGCGCGGGGTGCACTACAGCAATAGCGAGAGCACGACAGGCTACGGGTCGACGAGCACAGCCTACGCAGCCAGCAGCACGACTGCCGACACGACACGGGAGTCCACGTGCGAGACGGAAGCAGGTGGGAGGCCAGGAGGCGCGTGCAAGATGGACGGATGTGGCCACCAGACTCGCTGATGGACGCCAGGTGCATTCTCCATTCATCCCTAGCGGCATGGCCCAGGATACGTCCCCACTTGTTGGTCATGTGGCACTCCCTGAGGTGGTCGCCGTGGTAGAGCTCTCGCATGGAGCTACAAACGGTGGCCATGCTCCACAGCTTCGCCGGTAGGGGAGCGAGCTGCCTCTGCCATAGCTCGCCAGCGTCGCTAGCCACGCTGCTCACTGCGTCCCTACAGGAGCCACTTGACGGAGGTGGCTCACCCCACAGCCTGCGAGCTTGCCCCTGCCTCGCCACGTCCGCTAGCAAGAACTCGCCGCCACCATTGAGCCACCGGACGGAACTCACATACGAGCCACCGCTCAGGATGGAACTCAAGGTCACGCTCCGCCGGGTCACAGGTGACGCGTACGCGAGCACCGACCACATCGCCGCCGCCGAGGGCTAGCTTCGAGGTGCGTGGCGCGGCCACCGGGGTGGAGGAGGTCGCGATAGAGGGCGTCTTCTTCGCCTGGCCATAGCGAGAAGGCCGACGCCAAGGCACAGGGCCCACACGCCCATCTCCATTGCCCACCTCACTGTCTCCATCTCAACCTGCTACAATACATGCACGCTGCTTTGCGGGGCCGTCGCTCGGTGCCTCTTCCCCAATGGCTCCGCGCCCGAGCTCGCCGCGGACCTTGAGGTCTTCATCTCGGTGCGTGCATGGGAGACGGTCGTGTACACCCGCGTCACTTCCGTGGCCATGAAGAACTACAAGGAGCTCTTGCTCAAGCACAATGCCGACTGCTTCAACACCTACCTCGCCGATGTCAGGTCTGGGAAGAAGCAGATTGCCACGAGCATGCTGCTCCCGCATGAGAATGGTGGTGGCGTGGCCGACCTGCAGTGGCAGCGAATGGTCACGACATGCGTGCGCTCGGCAAGCTCGGCAAACTGTGTTTGAGAGCATGTCTGGCCTACCCATGGACGTGTGCATGGCCCTGGGCGTTTGGAGATCCTGACGCTGCCGATGAGCACACAGTCTTCGATCTTGGGTTGAGCCAGTGTAGCTGTTCCACGAACAAGCTAGCCCAGCTGCTCTATGTCCTCAGGCATGGCCTCCACGGTGACCTGCAACAGTGCCCCACCAGTGGCCACTCAGCGCTTGCTGGCGCGGATGGTGGTGGCTACAGCCTACAGAGCTAGTGCTTGCGTTCTGTTCTCGTGATGGCCATTGAGGGCTAGCACTGCCGCTCCAGCTCGTGCGCTGGTCGCGCGGGCGAGCGATCCTCCAACACAGGAGAGCTCATTCTAACGAAGCAGCTAGATCCTTAATGCCTATATGCGTCTGTGTATGCATATATGTCTGACAGTTGGCCTATATACATAGCAGGGGTAGAAAATGCCATGAACAAAGGAGAGATAAAATTATAATGACAGATCTTCGAATAGGTGAATTGTAACGGTGTTTCTCAAAGAATAAAACAACATTTTTCTTTTGTCTGCCTTTAACATTAAAGGCATTAGAGTTCCCAAGGTGAGCAGTAGACTTCATGCTGGTTCTTCCCCTCTCCCATACCTAGGGCTGGACAAAGTACTCACGGCTCGCCAACTCATTCGATTCATGTCTGGCTCGGTAAGGCCCAGCTCATCTCGTTTTAACTTTTTCACGAGCTGAGCTGGAAGTCTAGCTCACTATTTTAACGAGCCAGCTCAAAACAACTCGCCAACTGCTCATGAGCTCAAACAAGCTGAGGCCTATCAGCCACGGCCATAAATCCAGAAGATGATGATGCTGACCTAGAAGTGTAAACCTATTCCAATGATATGTGTCGGTGTTTTCGGATCACCAACGAGTAAATTTGTATTTGCGCGTCTAGCTCGGATGGTGTGCTCGAAGGACACAAGTGTTTATACTGGTTCAGGCAGAACGTCCCTGCTTCTAGTTTGCTGTTGCTCGTGTTACCGACACTTGGTTTGCAGTAGGGGTTACAAACGGGTGAGAGAGTGAAAGGATCCTAGGTCTCTGGTGAAAGGAGTGAATGAGTGCTGAGAGATCGATCGTTGCTCAGCCATGTGCTCGTGTCATGCTCTTGTGTGGATCTGGATCGGATTTCGATGGGTCCATCAGGTTTCGATGGGTCGATCCCCATCATGGGGCGCCCTACTTTCCCTTTTATAGGCCAAGGGAAAGTGCGAGGTTACAACGGAGGAAAAGGAGAAGAACGAGAGAGAGGGAGAGAAGGCTTCCAGGATCA